CACAAGGTGCAATGATCTTGATGCATTTGGTGTTAAGACCATATTGAAACATATTTCATTTGTTTTCAATGATTTCTTTTGGTTTCATTGATGCAATACTAATCAATTTCATTGATTAATATGATACTAATCACCATCTTTTTAGTTGACTCAAATAAGTCGACTAAATATTTAGTGTAACTAAATTTTGCCCTACTTTGGTGAGATTTTTATGGTAAAAAAACTTATCCATTTGCACCCCCTTCCCCTATGTCTTCGTTGTTCAGTACAGCCCTGTCTCCTGCCATATTATAGGAATGGATTCAATCTCTAATTTTCACAACAAATCTATGACTCCCCCTCCCCACTCCTTCAAATATCAACCTCTCCTAACGACTATTATAACCCGCAAACACTACAGTTAGGCAGGCAGAAAGTATTGACATAAACCCAAAAGGTAATCGTTAAATAAGTTATTATGAATATATTTATTGCTTTCAGAGTAGAGTTGTTCGTCGGTTGGCGATACTTGCAAAATTTAAAAGCAAGATTGGTATTTGCATTTTAAAATGCAATTTCCACAATCTAAGTTGTTGAATAGTGTATAAAATGTATTAAATAATACTTAACTGTTGAATAACGAAAACATTTTATTAAGTAACTGCGGTCGCTTTTAAAACCAGGTAATTGTTTATGACATTTTAATTACTTAAAAAAAAAGCAATTCATAGTTTTTAAGCACTTTAAAATACGTGTAAAACCAGGTTGAAACAATTATTAATTAAAATTCAATAACTTTTTTACTATATTTATTTTTATATTTTTTCATTAGATATATGTTTAAAAAAAAACTAAAGAATATATAAATAAATATAAAAAAAAAAAAAATCAAACTATTGAAATAATGAAGGTAAAAAAGTTTGCTGTTTTAGGCAACATTATAATAAAACCGCACGCTCATGAACATTAAAATCACACATTAATTTTTTTAATTTTCAATTTTTTTTTTGTATTTTTTTTAAACACATTTTAAATTTAAAAAACTATATTAGTTTTTAAATTTTTTGTATAAAAAAAACAATCAGTTTTACATAAAAGAGTTTGAATACTAAATTTAATAATATTTCTTTTAGAACAATAAAATATAATAAAAAATATTTATTACAAGAAAAAACTTCAGTATTACATTTAATGAATTTAAACTAAATTAAAGAATTCCAAATTTTTGTACAAAAACATCAACATTTGAAAGCATTCAGTTGTTATTCTGTTTGGCTTTGCATACGTAAGTATAAGTTTGCATACGTTTTGATTTGCATGCATAAGTGTTTAGTGCATCAGAGAAAAGGTGTTCACTTAATGCACTGGTAGCAGGCGTACATAAAATCATTGTTGAAATACAATGCAATATTGGAAATACATGTTAATTTTGATAACAAAAGTGTAAAAACATTTTGCTCATTTACTGACAATTTTATATAACCACTAATTTCTTTTTTTAAATCTAAACTTATTATTTTGTCACTATCGTTTCTGGAAATATCATCTTTATCGTCAAATGATAACTTAAATTTTTTGATTTGATTGTCACCTTTTAAAATGGAATTATATCACAAACTTTTTTTGTTTAATGAAATTCCGACAAAAATTCTCTAACGCATTAAAAATTTTTTTTTCCTCGTATTTTTTAAAGAATTGAAAACTTTTATAATTTGGATCCAAAAAAGTGGCACATAATAAAACCAAATTATTGTAATATACTGTAGCTTACATGGCTGGCACAAGTAGCTAACAAGTAGAGAGTGTGGTTAAAATTTTACTTGCTAGAAAAAGAAAAAAAAATTTTGTTTTTTTAAATTTACCAAGTGGTTGTTCTGAAAATCTACATTTGCCGACTTACTTATCTAAAAGAGTCAAATTGGCTTAATAAATGAGCTAAAAGTTCATTGATGGGATGTCACACACGAAACCAACCAACCCATCCCTACACCTCTTTGCGCTGGCCTTGGTAGCTTATTTAATTCTATAGATATTTGTGTTTTACCATGTTTACTTTTTGGATTTTTTATGAAATATTTTCTTGTAGTATTTTGATACACTGATACAAACCCTTAGCACTGAAAATCGAAAGAAAATTATTTTGATATTTTTTTATTTTTGCAGTATTATGCGGTAAAATGATTATGCGTTTGCAATCTTATTCAAAAATTCGAATAGAGATGATATCATGAACCCAAATTATTTATATTATATATTTATAAAATTCTTTAGTTGGACTAAAAACAAAGTCGCATATTTAGTTAACAAAAAGCTTAGTCGGTTAATTTTAGTTAACTAAAAAGTTAGTCGGCTAATTTTAGTTAGACTAAAAAGTTAGTCGACTAATATTAGTTTACTAAAAAGTTATTCGGGTAATTTAAGTTAACTAGAAAGTTAGTTGACTGATTTTAGTTAACTAAATAGTTAGTCGACTAATTTAAGTTAGCTAAAAAGTTAGTCGGGTAGTTTTAGTTAACTTAAATGTTAGTTGGGTAATTTTAGTTAACTAGAAAGTTAGTCGACTAATTTAAGTTAACTAAAAAGTTAGTCGGGTAATTTTAGTTAACTAAAAAGTTAGTCGACTGATTTTAGTTAACTAAAAAATTAGTCGACTAATTTAAGTTAACTAAAAAGTTAGTCAGGTAATTTTAGCTAACTAAAAAGTTAGTTAAATAATTTTAGTTAACTAAAAAGTTAGTCAACTAATTTTAGTTAAGGTATTTTTAGTTTAGTTAGTTACAATTTTTAGTTTTGGTCACAACACTATGGAAAACAGATACCTTTCGAAGCAAAAAAATCATAATATTCTCATTTACTCCTTACATGGTCAGCACGGATCCTGATAATGCCAACCAAGCTAACCCAAGAATGTCACTCATATATGGTGATAGCGTACACATCAATGTACCCTGTGATGCATATTTTGAAATCTCTTAACTTTGTCCACGGCAAATAATTAAATTTGAATGTCTAAATTAATTGAAATTTTAACTTTATAGTGTGACAATAAAAACACCTGTAGAATGAGAATCACTACATATAATTTGATAGAAAATTCTGGATAAAATTTCAGCCAGATTAGTTACCTGGTTAAGTATTTATGGCAGTTTTAGTTTATATTTTGTTAGTTTTTTGCTACTTAAACCTCAAAACGTTACCAATTACTGTGATATTCGATTATTATTTTTAAAATAATTATCAATTATAATGATCAATTATAATCAAAATAATGAACATTATTTTCAAAATGAAGAATAATGTTTCAAAATACATGATTTTTCTACTATGTAATATCAACTATTTTTATTATAATTGTTTTTTGCTACATGTACCATTTTTATTCTATAGACAATGTTGATTTGCTAATAAAAGCGTGGTTTTACTTGGCTTATTCATAGTGTAAATATCTCAACATTTCTTTAAGTATAAACAAGTTTGTATCAGCAAGTAGCTGTAACTCATTTATATTTTTAAGAACATTTCTATATTCATTTTCCTCAAACTGGCCCCCATGATACGAGCTCAATTGAATATGGAAAGCAGTTGGCCACTTAACAGCTTTTATCCAAGCAGTTTTAGGTATTTTGAAAAGATGATTGATAACTCCTATAAGGAGATACAAATCTATCAGTTGAATTATTTCCAAAATTGGAACATTGTCAGGCCCACTAATGATTGGCTTTTAAATGAAATTGCCAAACAACTTTGCACGAGCAATATCTCCACTAAATTACTGAAAAGACTCATTTGATTCAGCCCAGTGTTCATAAGTTTCTAGATTTAGCAAGACACTTGGATTTGACATCATTCCAGGACAAGGGTGTGTATTTGAATGGGTTTGAAGTCCACAAATTATATTCGCTTTTGTATTACAAGCCAAAATTATTTCAACTCCATTTGGATTAATCAATGACCAGATTTGTTCAACTTTGGAATGAGTTTCTGGCAAATCTCTTGATATCACTACAATAATTTGTCTCTTAACTCCAGTGTCTTTGTTAGCCCTTTGATTGAGAGGTTGATTTTTAGACTGAGCTGGTATAAACCTGTAACGTAGTATCAATGCTTAGACAAAACTTGAAAGAACCTTTGACATCATAAATTCTGAGCTTAACAAAATATCCACCAGAATTTTTGTGAGATTGAATAACATGATTCACAAGTTCCTTCAGGTAATTCAGATAAATTTTTATTAGAAATAACTTAAGGTGCAATTTTTTTGTCAGTTCTTGCATCTTTTTCTGCTAAAGGCTAAAGGTTTTCCTTTAACTTTATTTTAGATTATTAGCGAAGCAAACCTTTTCTTAAAGGGCAGAGACGTGCTGCAATGTATATTTGGCTCTTTCTCAATAGTATTTTTCTTTTCAAGAGGATGATTTTTTTGCAGCTTTGAACAACAAAATTGGCAGATTAGGCAATTAAACATTGTGCCTCTTGTTTTAGGTTTCATTTTAATTGAATTGAAATTGAACAAAGGAGGGAGTATTACTTCTTCCTTTTTTGTTACCTGTCCAAAATTGTTCTAAATAATTCACAGATTCTTTGTGGTACTTGAGAATCACTCATATTGATGATTGTCTTGTACAGTTGGCATATTTGATCTGCTTGGAATGCAATAAGCTGTCTTAATTATTTTTTCAGACAGAGCAAGCACATAAGATTTCGATTTTCATTGTGAACCTTTTTTTTATTTGGAATTCTTTGATTTTTAATTTTTTCCTGTGAAAATATGGTAATTTTCCTGGGTAATGAGAAGTATGAAATATATAAAATTCCTGAAAAAAACCCTCTAATTTTTACCTATAAATGATGTTTAATATTAATTCTAAAATTACATGCTATCATTTTGCGTAATTATTATCGCACTGATAATTAATAACTCTGTAAATAGTATTTTATATTGGGCAGCCAGACACAAACTATACAACAAAGTCTGCCTGGAGTCTTAGATTTCTATTTTCTCATCAATAGAAAAATAAGAAGAAACTGTGCTGCTTAACTGCCATTACCCATAACAAAATTACCCACCAATAAAATTTTCTATGATAATGACTTAAATTTAGAACACTGAATATTAATGATAATAAAAATAATATATTTGTCCTTACTTTAGAACAAACTGTAAAAAAAATGTCAACTGTTTCTCTCAATTGGGCGAAAAATTTTGGTTTAGTGATATTAAAGGTTTGTGATATAAATCCACACACACACACACACACACACACACACACACACACACACACACACACACACACACACACACACACACACACACACACACACACACACACACACACACTTTATTTTTATAATAAAATGTAAAAAAAAAAATTGAATAATGAGAATATCTGCAGCAACATAGTTATGATTTAAGTTACCATTAAAACCCATTGAAACCAAAAACATATTAAGTAAAAAAAGGGAAGCAATTTGATAAGATTAAGTTTAAGTTTAAAGTAAATGAAGTTTATTTTTTTAAATTAATAATTCAAACTATTCTGAAATAATGATCTTTAATAATAAGAGCAACTCAAACCTTTTCAACTTTTCTATGCAAATCCGTCATCTTTAAACATAATAATCACTTAATATCCAGATCACTAAATGAATAATGACTTATAATATCCAGATCACTAGATAAGTAATCACTTCTAATCTCACTAGATGAATCCTTTTAAAAAGTAAACAGTTCCATTAGCAATATTTTATTTTGAATATCTTTTTTGTAAACCAGGAATAAGTCACATGAAAATTTTTTGTTATTGCAAAACTTTTGAAAGCAAGCCTCACTTTAAAAGACGTAATATTACAACTGATAAGGCTGATTATTAATAAGATATTTAAAAAATAATCATTGCAAAATTGCCGTCAAACCTTATTCAATTGCATCATAGCATTTTGACATAATTTTTATGGTTGTTGTCCAGTTAAGAAAAAGCTTGTATCTGTAAGAATTTTAAAATGGCCTTCACAAAGCTTAGATCTCAATCCTATGAATCATCTTAGGGCATATATTGGCAAGCAATTAGTTAGTAGAAAATCAATCAATTAAGACCATTTTATATGCTTTGATTTAAGAATTTTAGTATAACATTCCTCAGGATGTTCTCATTAATTTAGTTGACTCAATGCCTCTTATCTGTGTTGCTGTTTTAAAGGTAAATAAATATGCCACCAAATAGTAACTGCCTTATTAAAAATATTTTATTAAAAAATTGTAGTTTTGTAAGTTTTAGTACATTTTCAGGTTTTTTTGAAGCAAGTATTAAATAAAATATAATTGTTTCCTAACTTTTGCACATTACTGAGGTTTATTTAGAAAAAAAACAAGTGTTAAAATTATTACAAAGATGACACTCCAAAATTGGCTTTTACACTAGGAGTCTTATTTAGGATTTTTGCATACCAATTTACTCAACAATTTAGGCAACCAGCTGACTTGAGATTAAAACAGACAAAGTTCTGTTAAGTTATTTTTTTTCTCTATGTGCTGATGCAATTGAATCTGGTAAAAAAAATTAATCTAATTCTATTAACTTTATATGAAGGTTCATGGCAAACAAACCATGGTTAGCTATGGTTTTGTTATCAGGGCGTGACAAATCGACGAACGTGCGAACGTTTGTTTAAAAAAAGGCAGAAAAAGGAACGTCACGTTTCCTTACTTTTACTTAAGCAAACGTTGACGTTCGCTAAAATTTTTTAAAAACGAAAGCATAACTTTAGCAATTTTTTTTCAAAATAATTATGCAATTGATAGTTTTTTATTTATTATAAAAAAAAACATAATATATAAAAAAAAAAAAGTTAGTAAAATTTAAAAAGCAGTTTCAATGACATTAAAAGAAACCGTGCTAATACTTTCTTCAATAGCGTTTCTTTAAAGTACGCAACCGTAGAAATAATTATGTTTTAGCATGGTTTTTACATGCGTTTACAAAATAATGGCAAATTTAAGTCAAAATGAATGCATTTGCAATTACTTTGAACGAAACCATACTAAAACATACTTTTTTCAAAAGCGTTCTTTTTTTAAATTTTCTTATTATCATTAAATTAATGTTGACTTTTTTTTTTTATTAATTTAATTTTGTTATTTTATTACATAAAATTAAAGTAATGTTGACTTTTTTTTTGACCGTTTTTGAAAAAAGTTTTGAAAAAAAATTTGCAGAAAGATATATAATTTAATAGAATTTATAGAACTATTATGTTTATTATAGTTCTCATTTTTTAGTGTGCGTTTAACAACACCAATAATATGATATTATAATTATAATTTAACAAACTAAATTGAGAAAAATTCACTATTTTGTATTAATAGATAACAGTTAACAGTCATTACGTTATTGCATATTAGTTATTATTAATTTGCGCATACTTTGCAAATGTGTGAAAAATTGTTTTAAATTAATAAAATTCAATAAAGTATCTTTGATATATCTAACTAATATATATCTTATTAACTAGAATAAAAGTTATTTGAGAATAAAACTCCCTTATAATTTAATAAAAAATTATTTAAATTAAAAAAAAAGAATTTGAAGGAGTTAAAAATAAAACTGGCTTATTCTGGCCAACGACACAGGTTCGAAGTGGAGGTGCGCAACCATCTATTTATGAAAAACGTCCTCTATATCTAGAATTTCTCTTGAATTAAAAAAAAATATAAAAAAAAACAAACTTTAAAAAAAAAGTGTGTGTGTTTGTGTGTGTGTGTGTGGGGGGGGGGGAGGGTGCATATTTGACATAAATCTTAAATAAGATGTGCGTCAATAAATAAAGAAACGAACGTCAACATTTATTTAAAAAAAACGATTTGTTGCGTCCTGGTTATGGTAAAACTATGGCTATGGTTATGGTATTAACTGGTATTAAAGTATGGTTAAATTACAAGTTTTTTAGTCGCAGTTCTAAGTAATTCAACTACAAAGTATTTTAACATGGTTTTCTTTTTATTCTAAATAAATGATTTTTGGTTGTGGATTTTTATAAAAGTAATCAATATGTGAAACCCTTCAGAAGGGCTATAAGAAGGCTTCTTATATAAGCAAAACCATTTCATTTTTTTAAATTTAATATGTGTTGTATTAAAATGTTATTCACTGGTATAAAATTTCCTAAGCTTATAATTTATAGAAAAAAACTTTTTGCTTGTAATTGTTATTAATTCCTGTAATGGAAAACTGTAATTAACATAATATACTATTATTTTACTTGTAGGATTTATTTCTCATTTTATTTATGTAACTTTTTAGTATTTTTCAGAATTTTTTTGAAAAATTAAATAACAAATTTCTATACATACACTATTACATCTATACTAACTATTTTTCCCTGATCATTTAAAATCTTGATAAGTATTCACAAAGTTCTTGCAACCAAAAAAAATTAAATTAAATAAAACCAAAATATGAAGAAGCTGTAAAATAATGTTTTGACTTAACAAGTTCATGAATGCAAAGAATACAAGGAAGCTCTGAAAAAATGGTTTGACTTAACAAATTCATGAATACAAGGAAGCTCTGAAAAAATGGTTTGACTTAACAAATTCATGAATACAAGGAAGCTCTAAAAAAAAAGTTTAAAAGATTTTGATTTAAAATACTAATGATAAAGAAATGTCATCTAGTTCATCCAATCATATAATAAAGTTGTTTTGACAAAAATAGAAAAAATTTTCTTATAATAAACACTTCCCACCATCCAATCCATTTCATAAACTGTTCAATCATAACACAGCAAAGTTACAGCTGTAGTGGCAACACAGTACAAATCATAAAAAATCTGTTTTTTTTTTCAATCAATCTAACAATGGCTTTTGTTTATCATAAACTAAATGAAATCTGCTTAAATAATGGAAACTGTAAAAAAAAAAAAAGAATATAATTTTAAATGCATTGCACTACAAACAGAACTGAAAAAATGTATATTGTTCCACTGAAGGAAAATGGGAATAGAGATCAAACCACAAACGATTATTCCAAAACTCTTAAATGCATCTATGCTCTTAAAATATTTAAAGGATAAAAAATAAATATTAAAAGCTATATCATAAAATCACTTAAGTTTTGTCACTTAAGCTTTGAACATTCACATCTTAGACATAAATGTTTTTTTTTTTTTCCAAATTAAAAAGATAACTTTTATTGTGAATATATACATATATTATAAAAAGAAATAATAAAAATAAAAACTAGCATACAATGTTTTGCTTCAAATAAGTTAGTTTGACGAAACTTTCAATACGATCTCATAATTAGGCCAAACTTTCAATACCATCTCATAAGTTTGGTCACAATATACATTTCAATAAAAACATGGCAATATTATAAATTTAACTTCCCAATAACACATCACAATATCACAAATTTAGCATAAAAAATTATGAAAACTAGTTTTCTAACTCAAACAGATTCTTTTCCAAAATTTTATCATTACTTTCAGAGTTTGCTTATTTGAAGTTTTAATAATACTCATGATTGGAATTTTTATAGGCAGTCAAATTATTTCAGCATGGTACAATTTTTTTTTTTTTTTTTTTGTAATGCCCTCAAAAAAATTTCTATTAGATAACCACAAACCATAAGACTAGAGTTTTTTCTTATGCATAAACATTCTTTTTTTAACACAGAGATTTTTTTGAAGAAAAAATCATATTTTTACCTGATATATTGTGTTTTTTATTTTTGAACATTTAAATAATTGTATTGTAATTTTTTTTATTAGAGGTTAAAAATTTTTAAAATGTACTCTAATAAAGTTTTATATCAATTATTAGAGACTTATTGGGTTAGCCCCATTGATAGTGAGTCAGAAAGAAGAATAAAGGTATAGATACATGTTTTTGATTCATTTTAATGTTTTTAAGTCTAAGATATTAGGAGGCAAATAAAACAAATTTTGAGAAAAATTTTCCTAAACTTATGTAGTATTATACTACAGAGATAATATTAAATATTTTTTTAATTATTTTTTTAATTTACTTAATGCAGCAATTGACTTAAATAGGTATTATTTAATAATTTTGTCTCATTTTTATATCTAGGGAAATCATGTAGGATTAAAAAATCTTGGAGCCACTTGTTATGTTAACACAATTTTGCAGGTTGATTTTGATTTTAAAATTGCTATTATTTTTATGTTTTGGCACAATTTCAAGAACACCAGAGTTTACATTGAGCCTAAAATCTGTATAATTATATTTACAGAAAACAAAGGTTTTGCAGTTTGTCTGGAATGTCTTTTTCTTGAGTACTACACTTTATAGGCTTTGTGAAAAGTTTTCTTGTTCTTAAATAAACCTTTGCATGTGTTTATTGTATTATTATTCTTTTAAAGGAACCATAAAATCTAATAACTCTGGAATAGTACACATAGGTTATAAACCTTCCGTAATAAATAATAAAAAAAAAGAATTTATAATTAAATTATAAGATAAAACTATTTTTTTTAACACAACTAAGATTTTAAGCAAATAAGACTTCATTTAAAAAAATTTCAAAATATATTTTTCTCAGACAACTAGGACTCATTTGAACTGTATTTTAAAATATATTTTTATCTACCTATCTTGAGCTTAATCTTTTAATTTTCTTTTAAGTGTTCTTGTTTCTTGGCTTCACCAAGGCTTCTTATTGCTTAGTTTTTTTGCATTACGGCTTAAGAGTATCACCTGTTCTCAATTACAAATTCTTACTAATTGAAATGTTAATTTTTTGAATTTATAATTAATTTATGATTTTATTTCATTTCAGCTTTCATTTCATAATAAAGCATTTCGTTCTGCAATATATCAATGGAAATTTTCTGACGGTTTTGTACCTAAGTTGATAGGTATAATTTTTTTCTTGTTATACTTTTGAAAGTTCTGCAATTTTATAATAATTTTACTAAAAATACCTGGAAGATTACTGTACCAAGATTGTTTTTCTTTTTTGACATTCGAAAATGGATTTTAGCCAAGCTGGCTCTTAAAATAATTTAATCAAGTGTTTAGAAAATTAGGTAAAAACAAATAAATATGTCTCATAATACATCTTACTTATATATCAGATATTTTCATACATTACTAGGGCTCAATTTAACGATCAGACATCGGTGCCCCTTATATCATTCTTGAAACCTGCTAGAGGAGGGCAACAATCCATTTTGGATTTTTCATTAAAAATGAACAATGGTTGGTTGCCCCCATAAATCAGATCTCAAAAACAGTCTGGGGCGGCAATGTCAGACTGTTAAATTGAGGCCTGCATTACTAACAGTACAAGATGTATTTTATATACTTAGGTCATAGGAAATATTGTAGAACTCCCTTTAAAAAAAAGAAATAAAAGAGTTTTTTTTAATTTTATTTCATTAAATGTTTAAAATATTGTCTATCATTATCTACACAAAGTTTCATCTTTTCAAGCCATTTGTGAAACGTTTTTTTATACTCTTCTATGGGTATACTTTCAAGTAGCTTCGTTATGCGGATTTTTTGGCTTTCGACATCAGTATTGTCATCAAGACTTTTTTTTATCAAATCGAATAGCCAATAATTGGATAGAGCTAAGTCTGGTGAGTATGGTGGGTGGCGAATTATTGTTATTTCAGCTTGGTTTAGAATTGTGAAGATTTGAGTTACATGGGGTCAAGCATCATGGAAAAATTTGATAATGTGAGTGCCTGTTTTAGGTCTTTGTCTATTTATTTTGCATATAAGAGGTTTCAAACAATTTTTTATACAATATTCACTAGTAATGGTGCCTTCCTTTTCAACATCACCCAAATGAACAAAACCTGTTGTTTTGAAGAAGATGTAGAAGATTTTTTTCGGCTCTAACCTCGCATCTTATTATAGTTCTTGGACTTTCGCCTTCTCTGACCCAACTAGCGTAAGCTGACTTGTGTCCAACTTGTATCAAATAAAACCAGGACTCATCCCCTGTCACAATATCACATAGCCTCTATGGGCCATTTCTGAAAAGGGCTAAATTTTTCTTACATGCCTCAACTCTATTTTTTCGATTTTGATCGGTTAACTTGTGGGGTATCCAACAATGTTAGTCATTTTTTTAAGTGCGTTGTAAATAATTTCATTAATTGTAAAACGATTAATCAATGTCAGGGCTTCAATTATATCTTGTGTTGCATGCGGATTTTCTTCAATAATGGCTCGCACATGTTCAATATTCTCAGCTGTATATGTGGTTTGAGGGTGCCCTGAGCGAAGATGATCTTCAAAACTCTCTCTACCATTTTTAAATAAAGTAGCCCACTTGGCAACTGTACTATATTTTGGAGCTTGGTCACCATGAACTAAAACCAATTCATCGGTTATGGCTTGTGCTGAAACTTCAAGTAGAGCACAGGTTTTAATATATGCTCGATTTTCAAGTTTTTTCATTTTTAAATTTTTTCTTTCAAATGTATATAATAAAATTTAAATAACTTTTTAATAAACATTCAAAATATTTTAAAAAGTACTTAAAATGTTTATAATTACAAAAATCTACGAACTTCTCTAACGACCTAAGTAAATAATTTAATGACACTTGTTATTATCAACTATTTATTTTACATAAATAATCTAATGACACTTGTTATTATCAACTATTTACTTTTAATAAGTAGTTGATAATAATTGTTTTACTTAAATGTGGATAAATTTCATTGCAGTTTATTATCCTGTTACAGTATGCATGATAAATTTCTGGAGCAATTCTGACTGATTCTAAAAACTCAAAAAAGGCTAGAAGTGTTTCAATTTCTTTGTTTCTTTTTTTAAATGAAAAAATACTGTATTGGCTACAAATTACTTAATAAAAGTCCTTTCTGCTTAAATTTTGGACTCGGTTAATGACTAAATCCAGTGACAAGTAGTTTTGATGAAAGTTTTGATCCCAAACTTTGCAGATAAAGACCGTCAAGGCATTGATAATTTTTTTCCAAAGCTAGATTTAATAGTAAAACTTTTTAGAAAAGTAAACTTTTGTAATCATTTTGAAAATATTTTGACCGTATAAAAAGATCAGATAACAAACTAAAGTTTTCAACTTAAAGTATCATTTCAATTCCATGGTTTCCTAAACATGTAATTTGTGAAAGCATAAATAATTACAACCATTAAAAGCAATTTATGTGATGTTATAATAAACATTTTTGGGGCATTTTTAGATAATGTTGGCATTTTTGCAAAATAATAATATACATGCACTTAAAGGTTAACACTTTAAATCAGATAATTAAAAAATTTAATTTGTGAAAGCATAAATAAAGTGAATAAAAAGTTATCTGTTGTTCATTTAATAAATATATTAAAATAATTTTTTCTACATAACTTTTAGGGCCAGCATGCGACTGGCTTGTGGAGATAAAATATGATTAATCATATTTCTTTGTAAGCTTGCTAGTGTTGCTAAGTGTATCACCTATCCCAACATCAAAGTTGCCCATATGAAAAGTATTCAATATTATTAGAAGTAGATTTATTTTAATATCATTGTTAACAATCTCAAAAATTTTATACACCATGTTCATATATGATCTGAAGCAATACAATAAGATTTGTGCATAAAACTTTATTGAAATGAATAATCACAGGAGGTTGTGTACATTGTAAATTTCTCCAAATAAAGCTTTGCATGCCATCCTGAATTACAAATTTAAAGTTTTCTAAAAAATTAACCAGAAGCAATAGATTCATATCTTCCTTGCTTGATCTCAGGTATGCTTCTTGATTTATTGCTAAATATGAGTGTGGTAAAAGTTACAGTCTTTCTTAACTGTCTCTAAACATTTGTCAAAGTTTAGAAAATTTCAAATTTTACCAAATTAGAGTACAACTTTTTTTTTATATAAATTTTTTTACTCATAGCTTAGTTATTTTAACAAGTTAATGTTCTATCCATAAAATACCATGAATAATGCCAACTAATACAAGGGGGCATCCATAAAATATGTACGCATGTATGGGGTGAGGATGGGGCGTTCCCAAAAGCATACAAGGGGGGAGGGAGTGTTAAAGACAACAAGAATGTACGAGTTTTGACTATCTCTTGTAAACTTGATTTTTTTTCAAAACATTCAATTTCACATGTGTAACAAATCAGAATTGTGTTTTTTTTTTCTGACTTTAGTCACAATTTTTTTTAAATTTCTTTATAAACAGTTAGGAGAGAAAAAAGAAAGAGTTAATTTTGAAAAAAAAAGAATGCATATGTGCGCAAAGGGGCAGGGCAGGGCAGGGCGGGTAGGGGGGGTCCAAAATGTACAGGTTTGTACAAAGGGGAGGGGGGGTCTGAAATCATTAGTTTTACTACTTAATGGATACCCCAATGATATTACATAAAATAAAAATACATTTTTTGGACAGATCAACATTTAGCATTTACCAATCGAGAGTTAAAGGAAGAATGGTCAAGAGGCTAAAACTTAGCATGAAAATATTTGTATAGCTTTTTTATATGGCTTATCAAGATGTATCTACTTTTACAATATAAACATTTTTAGCATCAAAAGGTGCTTTATTTTAGTATTAAAAACAATTTACATAAAATTTTTAAATATAAAAATTTTATAGTTTAATCATTCAAAATTTTGTAAGCTGTTAAATGTAATTTTTTGAGAATTTTTTATTACTTTTTTTTTTTTTTGGTTGTTAAAAATTCTTGCAAGTAGTAAAATGATAAATAAATTAAAATTTATAAAAAGGAATCTTTTATATAAAGAATAGAGAATATGTTACAATAATAAAAAAAATATTCAAATCAAAATTAGAATTTGTAAGGTTTTTAATTACTTGTATTTTTTAACTATAATATTTATAGATAAATAACTTATAAAGATGGTAAAAAGTTTTGATCTCTTACTTCTAGTCAAAGACAGTAATGCAGATGCATCTAAATCTCTTCTATTAGAATTTGATGACAATCAAACCAATAAAATTTGTGGAAACCTTCAATATTTGTTTGCATTACTTGAATTAAGTAATAGAAG